GCCCGGTGAGTCTCAGGGTGAGATCAGGCGATATGATTCCACACTGAGATCCGTATGCCTCGGTCTTCGAAGCGGTGGGATTCGGAAATTCGGATACTCAAGAATGACATGGTGTCTTAAGTGTAGTATTTATAATATCAAGTAGTTTTTCTAACTTTGCTTCGTGCTAAATCTCGTTAGGCTCGACCTTGTAACATCGATAAGTAACATTGCAAACACAAAAACGTGATAGGATAAAACATTCAAAATTATTGATATTGACGCTTTAGGAAAAAAACGTGATTTTTCATGCGACAAGCACTACAGTTGAAATTCTTATTTACACTAAATGATTCCAAAAAGGACTTCTAACTAAAATTATGGATAACTGCCATTGGTCGCAAGAAAAGGCTTTCTAGAGTGCACAGAAAAAACATTAGTATCCATTTAAAACCAACATATTTAAATTAACAATAATTGTTTCATATATGAGCGACGATATATAATTTTGTGAGAAGAATTTTGTCTTGAATTTCAACAGTGTTGTAAATTTATTTGAATATTATAACAGTTTCATAAAAGATATAATATAGTTATTTTGATAATAATAGTATTTTCTTCTTACATTTAAAAGCATCATATTCTCACCAAATAGTTTATGTACTTTCTTTTAATAAAAATTATTTTTGAATAATAAGAACAGATTTTCCTTTGTTGAAAAAGAACATATGAAATATATTCTTGTAAGTTATCCTCGTAACGTGTAATCACATTTGAAGATTAACATGTCAAAAGATATTTTCCAAACAAGAATTTTTTTTCTATGCGTCATTGGTTAATGATGATTAATAAATGGGTGTTTTATCTCACAGAAGAGTAATAGATCGCGGGATAAAACTTGAATGACTTTTGGCATCGAATATAGAAGCTTCCTCGAATCTGCTCATCGCGGAATCACTGAATAATCGCGAAAAATCAGTAAAGACATTTCTTTCTTTGCATTTTCGATACTCTCAGAACCGGATTGGATGTACACTAGAAGAAAAAATGGTTGATCTAATTAAAATTATAGTTACTTTTGGCTCCAGCCATATTTTTTCTAATACGTGAAAATGATAGTAAGGTTACGTATAAGGTTATCATCACTAACCTTATAGTGAAATTTAATAAGAAAAATGATTTTTTTTTACTATAATTTATATTTATAACAATTATTTTTCTATGTGGTTATAAATATCAAACATTTTTGTTTTAATACATTTTTACGGGATAATACGTTTTTTCGCCAAGTTGTTGACCGTGATAGATCGCGAATGACACGCTCGCGAATAAATCCGCGCATGGCCCGGGAACACGCGGAGAACGTGAAGCGGGATTGGTCGTTATGCTAATTCTCGAGAGCGTCACGATAACTTCGTCTCGCGGCGCGGTATAACGGGTCGGCGTCGGCGGCGTCGGCGGTGGCACATTCCTCGAAAAAGCTTTACGGCCATTTCCTTTTTCCGCCACGGCTCGGCGTGGCGTAAACGGAGATATGGCGCCATGCCAGAACGTTCTCGAGATCGTCCTGCCCGGTCCGGGCAATCCCGGATTTTTCCTCGCAAATAATCACGCTGGGTAAAACTCGCTCGAGTTGCTCTCGCCGCGGATTTTTCACGAGTGAAAGATGAGGACGAAAAATCGGCATGGCACGACTGGCGGGTGGATTCGCTAGACGGAGCAGTTTGGCAATCGAATCAGTAATAAGAGCGATGGAATCGACTGACGAATCTGCAGCGCGATGACGGAGATTGCAGAGGAAACGCACGAGTATAAGCGAGAAGACGAGTATCCGCGGTGCGATCTTAATCATGTTTGGCGATCGAATTCGAAGACGTTCGGTAGAATCCGCTCGACTTGCGAATGAAAAGTACCGTAAGCACCACCGAAATTAGATCGAAAACGACTACGCGCACTGAGAGAAGAAATAGTTGATTTCACTAGTAGCAATATACATATAAGTTCAGTAGTAACAATATACATGTAAGGTACTACATTTGTAAATTACTACATTTGGAAAAATGTTCTTATAAATGGTTATTATTATATTTGGAAAGAATGTTTGGTATTTATAACTGTAATCACATATAGAAATAATTACTTTTGATTATGTTAAAGAACATCATTGTTTGATTAAATTCTACTATGATGTTAGTGATAATATTTTTACATGTATATTATTATTGTCATTTTGTTATATAAAAATTATGATTCAGGCGAAAAGTAACTATAATTTTAGTTAGACCGACCATTTCTTTTCTCTCAGTGCACTAACACTATAGTAATACTTGCTAGAAATGGTTCTCCTGATTATAATTTTCCATTACTATATATCACTATTATAGTGACAAACACTAAACATTTTCTTTTTGATACGTGAGATTCCTCCTTCAGCGATTTTATCGCGTCGCTTAATTGCGGAAGTGTAGGTGATCCGCGCGAAATCAGGTGTTCCCGCGAGTGACCGTTCTGCATTTTAGTCTGGGCTGTTCCGCGCGTATTCTGATTCCCCCTCATGACGTTTCGCATTCGTGATCTTCACTTCTTACTGACCGTTTCGTCAAAACACCCGGTGTCCTCGATTCTCGCGCGATAGTTCGTTCCGCTTGTCTCGGAAAAAGGAAATGGCAGGAACGCGGCGAGTGACATCGATCCGCGTTCGTCAAATACGACTTTGCCTCCTCCTTGCGCCGTTTCGCTGACGTTTTCCGAACGAGCGACTCTCCGCCGCCGCCGTCGTCGCCATCGCCGTCGTCATCGTCGTCGTCGTTGCCGCCGCCGTCACCGCTGCTGGATCCATCCCGGCAGAATGTCGTGGAATTCGTAACTGGGGATTAGCATGTCATAAATACTGATGGCGCACCCCGAACCGGGACTTACGCCCGCCGCTCCTTCGAGTACCTTTCGTGACATGCCGTTTCGGCTCTCTGCCGAGCGCGCCGCGCCGGCCAGGCCCGTGCGGGGGTGGTTACCCGCGTCGGGGATGAAGCCTCTCATTTACAAGCCATATACCAATCAGCGGCCATCATGCAAATAACATGAGACCCGGCTCCCTCGCACACGCGAGGCCGGGTACCAGGCGGGTCCGGGCGTTTATCGTTGGAAATACAAAGTAATAAAATGTGATATTTTTCGGATTCGCGAATTTATCTCGCATTTCCATCGGGGTTATTCGGCAGGACGGATTGATTTAACGAAGAGACGAGCCATTTTCAAGTCGTTTTTCACTCGAGTCGGCTGTTCCGAGCGAAATAATAAGAAGCTTCGTTGCTGAATTTTATGTACTGTCTGCCGATTAGAGATAGCAGCATTTCTTTTCGTATCCTATAGGAGAGCTCTTAATAATTTTCAAGAGCTATGCTTTTCTATTGGATATGGAGACATTGCAAAACTGATTGAGAAAAAGTGTCGCTGCATTCAATCAGCCGACACACTGAGAGAAAAAATATTTAAGGAATGAAAAAATATTTATTTGATACTAATATATCTATACTGTTATAAAGTATTTTTCAAATAAAAAATATATATCTTTTTAAAATTTTAGTTTACGAAAATAATTGTTTATTTTCTATTTAAATAAAATATCCAGATTTATGTAATGTTATCAGAGTAATGTAGATTCGTCATTTCAAGACTTATCGATCTTATTAAATAAATAATTAATATACAAAAATGAAAGGCTTGACTTTATTTTGCTTAATATCGTTAGCATTAGTGGATTGTCGGAGCAGGGAGTGATACTTGAGGGGTAAGAAGAAGATTGATCGACTTTGCTTGATTTCATAATTTATTTAGGAACTTGTCGCGATATCATATCGTGTACCTGCATCGCATTTGCTAAACTTAAGACCTATTGCGGATAATATTTACACTCACATCGTATACCGTAAATACATGGCTTCTCGCTCGCTCGCACTCGCGTGACTGTACTCGAATAACCGGACAGACAGTGGACGCCACCCACGGAAAGAATAAAGAGAAAGAGAGAGA